GTCTGTCTTTGTATATAGTTAAGATGGGTCCTATTCCAATTATTTCTCTTATAATTTCATTCCTGATTTTATCCCTTATGGTCTCTCTGGCCACTTTCCTCAAACAATTCTTTTCCGTGATGACTAACTTTCATTTATGTTTTGTTCTATGCTTCCATGTTTGACCCTGGTAGAATAAGGTGGGGATAAATATACTTTGCATGATGTGCTTCTTCGTTCTGATCAGCACCGCCTTTTTTTTTTTTGAAAATTTTATTAAGATTTTTAAAACTACAAACAACAATCATCGCACACACCAGAGTTACTGGATCAGTCCCCTACTACATATCTTTTAACATTTTATGATCCTACTAGAATCCATTTATAATAACTTGAAAGCATCATTAGATCAAAACCAAGTCCCGTTTCTCCAGCCAATAAAATAATAATAATCCAAATTGGATAGAGGTCACTATCTTCCTCTTCTTCATCCATGAAACCAAATTCATCATTTCCTACAAAGTCCTGTTTCTCTTAGACAGTGTCAAAGGAAAAACAACTCCAAGTTAAATGAAATTGCAATATTTTCTTTCTCCTTCAGTGGTAAGTTTGATCTAAACATTTCTGGACAATTCAAAATCTTTTCAATTTTCTAATAGCAAATAACTTCCTCAACCACAATTACATATAAACATAAAAATATCCATTTAACATCTCTACAATTTTCTTATCTACTCTACTTGATAATAAGTAATACTTTTAATATTTTTAGAACATTTTTCTTTAAGCTAAATTACTAGTGTTTCATCCCATTTAAACACCATTTAATCAAATATGGTTAGTTCCATATAAAAGCCCATCTGTTTACAGTCTTTAACATATATCATCAACATCAATAGCTTATTAAAAATACAGTCAAAGATATCCATTTAACAATAATACCTTTTAAACAAGATTTCACTAAGCTAAATTGCTTCTATTTCACCAGCAATGATAGCTTAACCTTTCTACCTCACATGTGAACATATCAAGCTATATAAATCACCCTTTTTTTAATTTGTTTTTGAATAGAAAGAAATTTCCCTTATCTTCCCTTTACACCCCTGCCATGTTTATTTTTTCTTTTTCTTTACCCCTCTACCAGACCTTTCTGTTTTTTTTCCATTAATCCACCATAGTGTCTATAATGGAGTCTTCAGTTGCAGCCACATGAACATAGCCTCTTTCAGATGATCAGCTGAATTGTCCTTCTCTAAGATCCCATGGAAATCTGCTTTGTAATGTCTGGAATAAATCATATGTCTTGAATTGTGGCCAAGCTATCTTCTCCCTCCCCAGCATACCACATAAATCAGTTGCACCTATTTTCTTTCCAGTTTCCAATTTTCCTCCTGTCTGTAATGGAGTCTCCAATTGCAGCCACATAAACATAACCTCTTTCAAATGATCACCTAAATGGCCCTTCTCTAAGTTGACACACGGATCCCATGGAAGCTGGCTTTGTATCGTCTGCAATAAATCATATGTCTTAAATTGTGGCCAAGCTGTCTTCTCTCTCTCCAGCCTGACACAGAGCTCGGCTGGACTTATTTTCTTTCCATTTTCAGATATTCCTTCTGCTTGTTGGATATTTTGCATATTCTGTTCAGATGCAAGTTGCTTGTCGAAAGCGAAACTAAAAGCAATATCTAATTTATCAAAGCCACTTTTTTGTTCAGTTAAAAAACAATCAAGTCGCTCTGAAACAGTTTTCTGACGCATTATTATCACCTGCTGGGTTAATTGCACAGCTATTAGAGAAGATTGTATTTCCAGGAATGATTTCTGTATTCCCTCCATGGTAGCGGTAAATTATCAACACTTGGCAGGTGTCCAAGGGTCCGGGAACAAAGAGAAAAATGGCCACTACTTCTTGGCAGCAGTCCAACACAGACCAGAGAAAGATCCTCTATTACTCAATTCCACAGCACAATTATTCGCCCTTGGAGACATTAAACAAGATAAATTTTTTCCTTACTTACAAACAGTTTTGTCTTTCTCTCCGTTATGCAATTCGCCGCTTTTCAACTCCCTGGGGGGGAGGTTTCATTCCCCCACCATCCAAAGGGCTTTTTAATTAGCAAAAAACCCAGCTTATTCCACGGGTATCATTGCAGGAAAAAAAAAAGTTCCAATAGATCTGGTGTGTTCACAAAAGCTAAAAAGAATCGTATGTCGAGAACTTAAAGAGGGCAGTACTCCCTCTGGTCTTGCCCGGCTGAAAAAAGCTGGATTTCCTCCCACTAAATCTGGAATCGCCATTCCACATCCTATGGGGGATTTGCCAAGCAATCTCTCTAAGCCCCTACAGAGCTTAGATTAGGCCCCCACGGCCCACGACCGGGCATTTACCAGCGTGATAACAGAGGTTCGTTAATCACGTCTGTATCGTTCCGACGCCATACTTCTCCCATCAGCACCACCTTATGTTGGACAGGCTGGACGTGCACATGGTGGGCATGTCGTGAGCGGAGCTGGCTGGTGCCAGAGGTCAGACTAGATGGCCCGGGAGACCCCTTCTGACTCGCTCTGTTTCTGTGTTTCCATGTTGTAGGAGTGGAACCAGCTGTCCCAATTCTTGGTTTGCCTTCCTGAATCGTATGTTAACCTCTTTGTCCATTGTACCGTCTTCTGTGAATGTTCTTCCTAGGTATTTGAACCCAAGCACTTGTTCTATGGCTGTCCCCTCTATTTCTATATTTAGGGTGTGCTTTTTTCCCTTCCGCTTGCCATTACTTCAGTTTTCTCTTTACTGATTCTCATACTATTGGCCTTTCATTCTTGGTTCTTGGACGTAAGATGTTGCTGCAGCTCCTTAGCTGCACTTGCCATCAGCCCGATCATATGCAAAGAGTACTTTGTTGATGTTATTTCTGTTCCTGGGCTTGGCTTTTTTGCTTATGCTATCTATGATAAATAAAAGTGGTGATAGTACACCTTTGTTTTACTCTGGATGTTTTTGAGAAGGGTTCCAATATTCCTTGGTTTGTTCTAACTACACTTCTGGCATTGCTATATAAGCTTTCGCACACTCTAATAAGATGTTCACTTAGCTTAAAGATTAAAGAATTTATTGACCACCTTTTAGAATGGGGAGAAATAGCTGAAAAACTAGGAAAACAGCAAACCATCAGCAACTCAAAAAATGGGGTGGAGCTCTGGAGTGCCACTCTTGGGCCATGGGCCTAAGTTCCCTGCCTCGATGTATGCTCAGCACGGGAACCTTGGAAGGCTTGAAAAGCACAAAAGTCTCATATGAAAAGCCTAAAAATATGGCAGTGTCAAAGCTATCATTCTGGAAATCGATTGTTGCATGCATTTGCCAACCATTCTTAAACACTGGTGCAAAGCAAACTGGTATTTTCCCTTTTTGTCAGGCACTTCAGTTCACATGTGCAGGGAGGACAGACGGCTGCTCTGTGCGGAATATACTTAGCACATGCTCAGAGGCACTTTCCTTATCCATCCAGTGCAGGCTCCGAGAGGGGAAAAAAGGGCTGGGTCATGCTGGGAGCCATAGGCCCCGTCCCACGCATTTAAACCTGCACACCGTTATGCGGGTAGCAGCGCGCAAAGCCGCACTGGGGGTACCCGGGCGCCGGCGCGGAACGGGTTACTCGGCGCCTGCGCAGCACGGGAAAGGAAGCCGCGCGGCGGGTTGCCCTTCGACGGGCAGCTGCTGTGGGCGGGCGAAGCGGGGGGCGGAGTGCTTCACATCCGGGCGCCTTTCCCACGGCGCTGCGCTTGGACTCTGGCCGGTCAGTGAGCGGCGTCTCGCGCGGTGAAGCGGCTGTCGGCGTTCGGGCTCCGCAGACTCTTCCGCGCCGCGTCTTGCTTGGGTGAGGAGCGAGTCCGGCGTCCCCCTCCCCCGCTTGCCCCTCGGGATGCGGGGAGAAGAGACAGAGGGGCGGTTTCCAGGCAAAATGCACGACTGGGGGATCGTCTCTAGTCTCGCGGGCAGAATTGGAGCTCCTGGGGGGATGATGGGGATGGAGGCATAATGCACAGCGTCTCCAGCACGCGCGGATGGGGTGATTGATCGGGCTCGGTGCGCTCCTTTAGCCGTGCGCGTGTCTATACGTGCATGCCTCGCAGTCTGCCCCGCGCTGGCTGGCGCCCTCCGGCTGGGCTGTCCGGCAACTCCCATCATCCCCAGCCCAGCGGGAGATGCGGGCCAGACCGGCTGCAGAACGCCCGACAGCGCGGGGTAGGCTGGGTTGCACAGAGCAGCAGAGGAGGAAGTTGCTGCGGCGCCCCCCCCCCCGCGCACGCTGGCTCCACTCTCCCCCCGCGGATGGCATCTTTGCGGTGGGGGGAAATCAAGGGCAGCCGGCAGCTGCCCCTTCACTGCCTCGTCCACCTTCGGAAGGGGGGCAGAATCTGGAAAGGCTTCGATGCCAGGCAATGAATGAGGCGGCGATGGGAAGCAGAAAAATGCAAGCCCCCAAAGCAGCCGGGGAAGGTGCAGGGGGGCGCGTCTGGAGCCCTTCATGGGCTTGCGCGGCGGCCCCCTCTGCAGACCCGTGGAAGCGAGGGGTACCGCCCGCTTGTCTTGCATCTGTGGAAGCTGGCAAGAAGTTTATCCGGGAGCTTTGTTAGGGTGGCTTTCTTTGCGGGGGGGGGGGGGTGAGCAAAGGAGGTTGGAATTTGAAGGGCAGGGGCGGCTTCCCAAGATCGTCTTGGATTTTGCTCCATGTAGACTCCAGGTAGGGGTGCACCTTTGCGGGGCTTCTATGGGACCGGGAGGGGGTGTTGTGTCCCAGGTAGCTGCATGGCTTTGCACTGATGGGGAGCTCTCATGCAGGGGTGCGTGCAGCCGGCAAGCTTGGGATACTGTGGGGGGGGCAGTCTCTGGGGGACACGGCCCCTCTCCATCCCCAGGCTCCGCTCGAGGTAGCAGGCTGCATTGCCCCGGAGGCTGCAGGGGGGTGTTATTCCCTGGCCCCGGAAGGGTATGCGGATGTGCGCCGTGTTTCCACTGGCATCTGGTTCGGGTGTCCCCACCTTGGCTGTGGGGAGAGGGCCAGGTCCCCACGGCGGTGTCCTAGTTTCTAATTCAGTCTTTGCTGTTTTCTTTGGCGGGGCTGCAGTGCAGGCTCCAGCGAGGTTGTGTTGACGCCGGCCCGCATTGTGTGGCTGCCTGGCTTTTCTCCCCCAGGTCTCCGACGCCCGTTTCTCTAACTCAGACGCCAAAAAAGCGGAAGACCCCGAGTCTGTTGCCGTGCGCCTTTATGTCTCAAGCATGCCGGTCCAAGCTGGTATCTTTCCAAAGGGACAGGACCCTGCGGGGAACCGATTTCTCCGGTTCTTGTGAAGGAAGTCAGACCCTGAATATCTCTGGTATGTCTAGACATATAGGAGGATGAGTTGCTGCTTCTTACACGCATGCAGACAGCTTTCGATGAGTGCATGATCGAGCAAAAGGCAAGGACGGTTTTAAAAAGCAACACCAAAATTGCAGAGTATCGGTTCAAGAAAAAGATCTAGAAAAAAGGAAAGGGCAAAGGTAGGGAATGGAAATTTCTGAAGGGAGGCTTTGTGGAGGCTTGGAGGGGAGCCGCTGCGTTTGTTAACATCTGTTAACGTTGGGAGCGGATGCTGGTTCGCTTGCCCCTTGATGTTGGCCTCTTCCACACCCTTTCGCAAATACCCCAGGAGGTGCCAAACCCTTTGCATCTGGTTTGTGTCTCCATGTGTGCCTTAAAAGACTCTTTCGCTTGCATGTTGCTCCCTCCCTCCCTCCGCTTTGCGTTTGTAGTTTCTGATTGCATGTTAGACGTGCTGGCTTAGCAGCAGGCTCAGTGGCTCCTCTCTCAGGACTTCTTCAAAATGCAAAGCCGATCTTCAGCTGCTGCCTTTGTCCTGGACTTGCAGTTTGCCCTCTGTGTTCCCACTGATTCCTTTGCTTTGGTCAAGTTTGCCCTTGTGCTGTTTTGGGTTTCTGTTTTGCATGGCTCTTCCCCAGAAGGAATAAGTTCCAATATATATATACACATTGCTGGGATTTGTTTTTCCAAAATATGCCCTCTCCTGGGATGTCATTTTTATTTTTAAAAAAATGCCTGTAGTTTCTTGGGGGGAGTTGTCTAGCATCTTGATCAATTCCAGATCTCTCTTCTTTCCTCCTTGTTTACCATGGATGGCGCACCACAACCTTGTTAACGTGAGACTTGATGTATTGGTGAAATTAAACATTAATGTGTACCTTTAACAGAGGCTGGCAAGTTAATGTTCAAGCATCAGCCCTTTCTTAACTGTTGTGGTTTCTGTGTTTAATAAGGGTTGGTGTGAAATGCTGAATATTTATGCAGTGGGCCCCTGTAATACTGAGGAATTCTGGTGAGCATGGATGCCAAAGAGGTTCAAATTCCGCTTTTCACATGAGCTCACTCAGTTGTTCTTAAGCGCATCCTAAGTCCTGCCTGCAAACTCTCATTCACAATATAGAAGACAATAACATAGGTTTACCTTATAGATTTATCATAAAGATTGTAACTAGTGAGTACAACAAAGAGCTTTCAACATTTGAAAGAGATAGGAATGTTAAGTATTCTGAACTGAGGAAACTTGGGTTCGTAGAGAAAGTGAGGCATTCCAGGAAGGAAAAGTTTTGCAAGTCTCAGGGTACGATCAGATGCATGTACCTTAAATGTTTTGAAACTTCTTGTTGTCAAGTCATCCCTGACTTTCGGAGATCCTTGTATGCCCTCCAGAATGCCTAGTCTTTGACAGCCCTGCTTAATTAATAAACTAGATATTAGACATAATATCCAGGTCATGGGTGGGCAACTTGCGGCACTCCAGGAGTTTTGACTGCACCAGAGTGAAAACATCTGGAAGGTCAGGTCTCTGAGACGTAACTTAGATGGTACTGCTGCATCCCAGTCAATGCAGCAAAGTCCTGGATGGCTGCCAGCAGGTGCAAGGAGCCATAGCTGAGTCCTTTTGTGCGGAAAGTCTGAGAGCCACGTATCTGAAGAACTGAAGTGCAAGGCCCCGCAGCTGTCCGTAGCACGCAAGGAAATCGGAAGCGATACTCTGCGTGTACGTTTGGCATGAGTTGTATGGGAGTGTCCTCCAAGACCTCGGAGTGATTATGGGGTTGCTCAAGGCCCGAGCATCCAGGCGGCTCACGTTGTGTCAGCGTGCGGCCCGCGTGAGGTGCGGGGTCTGTGTGGGTGGCAGACTCATGCAGGTGTGAGGGATGGCCCTGCTGCCTGGGCCTTTCCCTAAATGTACCGCTTCCATTCCATTGATTGCTGCATTTGGGCTTGTCAGGTCTGATGCCAGGTTGGTGCAAGTGTTTCCTACCATGGGCTACCTGGCTTTCTCCAATCTGACACCCTCCAGACCTGCTAGACCACAACTCCCATAGTTCTCAACCAGCATGGCCAGGGGATGATGGAAGGTGTAGTTCAGCACATCTGGAGGTCACTAGGGTAGACAAAACTCCGGAAACGGCTTCCCACCCTAGCATCATCTGATCTGTTCTCAGCCTCTTCTGCTGCCTCGGCTTTTGGCACACTATAATCTGAATAATGGTGGCTCATCTATTAGGAATGTGTAGTTGCAGGGAATCCTTTCTCTATGGAGAGAGCTAGAAAGCTGACCTTTCCTCCGCTCTCAGCAGTGTGGTTATTGTGCTGTTGTGTTTTGTTTTGGCTTCTGTGGGCCATGCAGACAGCAGACAAAGTGGCAGAACTGTTCCTGCGCTGCACACCACAGCTGGGAGGGTGAATTGTAGGTCTCTTCCACATTGTTTCTTGAAAAAAAACCCTGCACATGGAGAGGTGGATATTGGGGAAATTGTATTTAAAGGCAAGGAAAGCATCCATTGCTTCGGCTCGTCCTTGTGGTCTGGCTGTTTGGGCTGTCTTGCCAAAGCAATCCAGACTGAGCCCCTTGGAGGGATCGGATGGCACTATTACATGATCTCCTAAATCTGACTGCTGCAGCAGTGACTTTATGGGGAGAGGACAGCTGCTACTATCTGCCCCCCCCCCCACACACACACACACAAGTATATTTCCCCCATTTACTAGAAGTAACAGGGCAGCTCCATTCATAGCTCAAAGGCTAGAGCAGGTTTGTGGGTCCTGGTTGCTGCAGGGAGCCATGGGAGTGCAAGTTCCCAGTGGATCCCAGTTTCCCAGAACGCACTGTGTGTGGGGCTGAGGGACTGGTGACATCTTCAGGAGCCCTCCTGCTGCTTCCAGTGGTTTGTTGTTGAGTATGAACTCTGGGCTGTTCTCAACAGTTTGTTTTCTCGGTTGGGTTCAGATGGCGACACACAGTTCAACAGCAACGCATATGCCACATGTGGCTGGTTGCATCCCTGCCGTAGTTACCTGGCGGATCAGGAAGCAGTGTGGATCAGATGTGCCATTTGCTTCATAATGGATACTTTCAATGTCAACATTCTTTGTGTGTTTAGAGTTACAGGGTATGTTGAGCATATATACACTAAAACCACTGAATCAGTTTAACGCTTGCCATGTGCTGATGTACAAGCAGCCTGGTTGATCTGTGCCTCTTCTCATTAACCCTCCATCAAAGGATGCTAAAGGAGCAGGGCCTTCTCTGTGGCAGCCCCCAGTTATGGAGCTGAGACCTGCCTGGTGCCAGTGCTATTTTGCTGGTGCCAGGTTAAGACTGCTTGCTTTGCCAAGGCTCTGAATAGCCCAAGAGGGGCTGTGTCGGCTGTTCTGACAGGCTTAGTTGTCACAGTTGGTTAAGGCAATCAAAATTCACTCTTTAAATTTTTGTAGTTAAGTTTTGCAGTTAACTGATGCACATGTTTTGTATTTCATTAGTTGTCATGGAGTGCCTGGAAAGGGTTGGCTCTTGAGTGATAAAGAAATACAATACTTAAACAACCTATGGAATGTGCTCCCCAGAGAGGTCCGCCTGGTGCCGTCCTTATTTGTTTTTCGGGGCCAGGCCAAGACCTTTTCATTTAAACGCTATTTTAACTGTTGATGGTTTATTTGTTGATTTTAAATTGACCAGGCTGTGTCCACTATTTTATTTTATGTATTTTATTTATTTGATGATGATTTTTTTTTTGTACGTTATGCGGGATTTTATGATTGTAAGGGATATCCTGTCCCCTATCATGATAAGCCTATCAGACCAGTGGCAGAAGACCACTCCAGGTTTATGCTTCAGTGAGATAAAGGCAACTCTAGATGATTCCTCTCTTATAGCAAAAGGATATGCATAAGGTCTTTGGGGATGTGCTGGTTGATCTCGGGGTGATTCACACTAGATAGGCAAGGCTTTCTGAACTACAACTTCAGCTGTAGCACCCACAAAATGATTAACACCTGCACACGGGCACTTACCTTTTATCCACTGATATGAATAAGTTTGGAGTGACAGGCACGGGATTTTCTGTGCAGAGCCTGTGGGAACAGCTCAGCTCTGGCACTCAGACCAAAACATTGTCACTTCGCCTTGCACAGGAGTGCTATATTTTTTAATTCTTCATGCGTGCATTTGGAACCTGTCTCCTCTTGCCGGATCTCAGGGTTCTGGTGAATCATAAAGACAGTTCCACAGGTGTGAAGGCAGTTCACACCTTCTTTAAACAGGCGTGGATGGCAACTGTTGGAGAGGTGCGCCGGGACTCCTGTAATGCCCAGAGGAGCCATTCATGAGGGCATAAGCTTCCGTTAGTCTCCTCCTCAGGGCTGTCGGACTCTTGGCCATGACAGACTAACTTTTGCGGCCTGGCTGGCCCTCTGGGTAGAGGACTGTAGTGTTTTAAGGGAATATTTCAACTGGGTTGGGCCAGGGACAAAGATGGGGAGTACCTGTTTGGGGAAAGAAAGCCACTTAAGCGGTAGGCATTGCCTGTTCGTCTGTGATCCCCTTGTAATATTATAAATAAGCAGGCATTCTTTGACTGCTGGGTGGTATAAAATCCACCCACCCACCCACCCAGTCTTTTAAGATGCGTGACATTAGTTGTCCCCAGTGTTCTGTTCTCGCTCCCCTCGGAGTGGTAAGGTCTCAAAGGATGCATTTGGAGCCGTGCACTTGAAGGTAGTGGCGGTGGCATGTCCCTTTGTCATTCTTTTGGGAGTCTCTTCCCATTGCTGCAAAGTTTCAGCAGGATTAAATGGCATGCATATCCTGTTTGGGCAGGAGGGTGGCTGGGTGGCTAGATTAAAGCAGGCGCATCATAAAATTGCCATGCTTGAAGCACTTGATCTGGAGGGTTTATTTACAGAAGGTTCTGGCCTGGCATTGCCTTTATCTGTGGTGTTACACAAGCTGCAGTGCGTGGAAGTTAACCCGTTCCCTTCGAGGCTTTGAGGGCACCATCCTGTGCACGT